TAGCCAGTACATCGATATCGATCGGGAGACGATGAGTCGTCCCCTGCGAGTTGCTATAGCAAACGAGAGAGCAGTATACGCCACCGAGGTGATCCGAGGATGCGTACTCGAGATTTTTGGGGTCGAGTTTCCGATCGACTTAGTCCCTATAGCTATGGGGGATGTTTGCATTATCGTGGGCATGGATTGGTTGAGTAAGTTTGGAGCTGTCATTGATTGCGAGAAACAGCTGGTGATGATTCGAGACCCTAGTGGGGGAGTGCTCACAGTTTATGGTGAAGGGACCCGGTGTGGGTCAGCGTTTTGTTCAGCGGCAAGGGCAAGGCAGAGTCTGCAGCAGGGCTGTGATGGATTCATAGCCTATGTGATGGATACTCGTGTGACCGCGGAGAGGCCCAATTCGATTGATGACGTTCCGGTTGTACGCGAGTTTGCGGATGTGTTCCCCGAGGAGTTACCAGGCGTGCCTCCGGAGAGGCAGGTGGAGTTTCGTATCGATTTGGTTCCGGGGGCGGCGCCCATCGCCAAGGCGCCCTACCGTCTCGCTCCACCGGAAATGCTGGAATTATCCTCGCAGCTTCAGGAGCTGTTGGGGAAGGGATTCATTCGACCCAGTAGCTCGCCTTGGGGAGCGCCGATTTTGTTCGTCAAAAAGAAGGATGGTTCACATCGGATGTGTATCGATTATCGGGAGTTAAACAAGTTGACGATTAAGAACCGGTACCCGTTACCTAGGATCGACGATCTATTCGATCAGTTGCAGGGGGCATCTTGGTTTTCCAAGATTGACTTGAGGTCGGGATATCATCAGATGAGGGTTCGCGAAGAGGATATCCAAAAGACTGCCTTCAGAACTCGTTATGGGCATTATGAGTTTGTAGTGATGCCTTTTGGGCTCACCAACGCCCCTGCTGCATTCATGGATCTCATGAACAGGGTGTGCCGACCGATGCTGGATCGGTCGGTGATCGTATTCATCGATGATATCTTGGTATATTCGAAGACTAGGGACCAGCATGAGGAGCATTTGCGGGAGATTCTTCGGGTGTTGAGGTCGGAGAGGCTGTATGCCAAGTTCTCCAAGTGTGATTTCTGGTTGCGAGAGGTCCAATTCCTCGGGCATCTTGTGAACCAGAAAGGGATATTGGTCGACCCGGCCAAGATTGAGGCGGTGCTGAGGTGGGAGGTGCCGAGATCGCCCACCGAAATCAGGAGTTTTCTGGGTTTGGCTGGATATTACCGCAGATTTATCAAGGATTTCTCCAAGATCGCTGTGCCACTTACTAAGATGACCCGGAAGGGTGTCGCGTTCTCATGGGGACCGGAGCAGCAGTCCTCGTTTGAGACGCTTCGTCAGAAATTGTGCGAGGCTCCAGTGCTTGCACTCCCGGAAGGGATGGAGGATTTTGTGGTATATTGTGATGCCTCTATATCGGGGTTAGGGGCGGTACTTATGCAGAGGGGTCATGTGATAGCATACGCTTCGAGGCAGTTGAAGCCTCATGAGTCGAGATACCCCACGCACGACCTGGAATTGGGGGCGGTGGTGTTTGCCCTCAAAATCTGGCGACACTACTTGTACGGGGTTCGGTGTACGATTTACACGGACCATAAGAGCTTGAAATACTTGATGGATCAGCCAAATCTGAATATGCGTCAGAGGAGGTGGTTGGATGTGGTAAAGGATTACGATTGTGAGATCCTGTACCACCCGGGCAAGGCTAATGTGGTAGCCGACGCGTTGAGCCGTAGGGCGGATAGCGCCCCGATCCGAGACATTTGTATGAGGTTGACGGTTTTGACCCCGATTCTGGATATTATTCGAGGGGCTCAGATGGAGGCTGCAAAGCCGGAACACCAGAAGAAGGAACGGGTGGTGGGTCAGGTACCAGGATTTGTTACGGATGGTCGGGGGCTTATGACTTTTCAGGGGCGGATTTGGGTGCCGTTTGTGGGCGGTGTGCGCACTACTTTGATGGAGGAGGCACATCGATCGAAATTCTCGATTCATCCTGGTGCTACGAAAATGTATTTGGATCTCAAGAAGGAGTATTGGTGGCCATGTATGAAAAGGGATGTCGCTTGGTTCGTCGAGAGGTGCTTGACTTGTCGGCAGGTCAAGGCCGAACACCAGCGACCGCACGGTAAGCTGCAACCGCTAGAGATCCCCGAATGGAAGTGGGAACAAATCTCTATGGATTTCATTACCAAGTTACCGCGAACGGCGAGAGGAGTCGATGCGATTTGGGTAATCGTGGATCGACTAACAAAGAGCGCTCATTTTCTAGCTATAAGTGAGAGCTCTTCTGCGGAAAAGTTGGCGGAGTTATATGTGAGGGAAATAGTATCGCGGCATGGGGTGCCAATCTCGATTATTTCAGACCGCGACGTGCGTTTCACTTCCAGGTTCTGGAAGAAATTCCATGAAGAGTTGGGTACTAGGCTGCATTTCAGTACGGCATATCATCCTCAGACAGACGGCCAGAGTGAGCGGACCATTCAGACGCTCGAGGACATGCTTCGGGCGTGTGTGTTGGACTTCGGAGGGTGCTGGGACACCTATCTACCTTTAGCAGAGTTCTCGTATAACAACAGCCATCATTCGAGCATTGGTATGCCGCCCTTTGAGCTGTTGTATGGGCGGAGGTGTCGCACCCCCATCTGTTGGGGTGAGGTGGGACAGCAGGTTATGGGTAGCACGGAGATCGTGCTTCAGACGACCGAGCAAATTCAGATAGTCAGGCAGAGGTTGCTGACCGCTCAGAGCCGGCAGAAAAGTTATGCAGACAGGCGACGGTCCGAGCTTGAGTTCCAGGTTGGTGATCTCGTGCTCCTGAAGGTCTCTCCTTGGAAAGGAGTGATTCGATTCAGGAGGAGGGGCAAGTTGGGGCCCCGGTATATTGGTCCTTTTCGTGTGATTGCAAGGGTGGGACGGGTAGCCTACCGTTTAGACTTGCCAGCAGAGTTGGGACAGATTCACGACACTTTCCATGTGTCGCAGCTGCGAAAATGTATAGCCGACGAATCAGCGGTGGTTCCGTTAGGAGATATTCAGGTGGATGCAAGTCTGAATTATGCAGAAAAGCCTGTAGCCATCAGAGATCGGAAGATCAAGGTTTTGAGGAACAAGGAGGTGCCTCTGGTATTGGTTCAGTGGCAGCATCGGAAGGGATCAGAGATGACTTGGGAGCCGGAGCGGGAGATGCGGGAGCAGCATCCGGAGCTTTTTGGCTAAGCGGGACTTCGAGGGCGAAGTCTTATTCTAGTGGGGGAGATTTGTAACAGCCCGGATCCCCAGGTATCCCCATTTCCTTATATTTTTGGAATTCTGTGAGGGGACTCGGCGAGTTGGTGGTTGAACTCGTCGAGTCGGGTCGCGGTTTATAGCGGGGGTTCGCGTCCGGACTCGGCGAGTCCAAGGGTGGACTCGACGAGTCCGTGCTGTTTAATGAAACCCTAATTCCCCGACCCTGAGCTCTATTTAAAGGACCTTATGGCCCTCTTATGCGGCCACCTTGAACCCTAAGAGCCTCCATACGTCTGTAAGCCCTTGTGTGTGTGTTTGAAGGCCTTTTGTTCTTCATTTTGTGTGATAGTGCAAGGAAAGGAGGAGAGGAGCAAGCTTGAAGTGTTGGGAGCTTAGATCTGTTGCTATTTCATCAAGGGGGTCTTCTTGAGGTAACATTCTGAGCCAATCTTCGTGTTTTGTGTTGATGGGCCAAATCTAGGGTTTCTTCTTGCCTTTCTTGGCTTGAATAAGAAGTATGAGAGGTCCCATGGAGACATGGAACCTAGATCTGGACTTTAGCAGGTCCAGGAGACCCCTTATGACAAGCTTTATGCCCATTCATTTGAGTTAGAAGCTATACTTGCCATATTGAAGGTTGTTTCTTCAAAATAAGCCTTGTATGCATTGCATGGCAACCAAGACTGAGACTTTACGTGACAAATAAGCTTGGGAAGGCCAGATCTATGTATCTATGGAACGGATCTGACCGCAAGAGCCAGTTTTAGCTGGTGCATGGCATGGACTCGCCGAGTCTGAAGAACAGACTCGACGAGTCACTTGAAGATTGTCCTTGAGACCATCTTGTGTGTAGACTGGACCGAGTTGTGAGCGACTCAGTGAGTCGCAGAGAGTTGGAAAGGTTTTGGCAGGTGGACCGAGTCAGGATGGGACTCGCCGAGTTGGCCTTAGACTCGGCGAGTTGAGTCGCGGTGACCCTGCGATTCAGGCCCAGGTGGAACTCGTCGAGTCAGGGGAGTACTCGACGAGTCAAAGGGAAAATTCTTGAGAGTTGGTAAAAACGCGTAGACTCGCCGAGTCACTATTGTGCACTCGCCGAGTCTAGTCCAAATTAACTAAAGACTGCTGACCGGGTCAACCGGTGTTGACTTGAGTTGAATGGTCCACCTTAGTGGTACAAGTAATAATTATAGATGTATATATATATCGTAGGAGGATTTCAGCTCGAGGGTTCGAGCCCGAGTGATTCCAGGATTTGCGGGTAGCAACTTAGCGAGGCATACGAGGTGAGTCTTCTCACTATACTGTACCCGGAAGGGTTTTGACTATGTGACCGGAAGGTCGAATATGATATGGAATATATGCTCTATGTGTGTTAAGTTATTTGCTATATGTGTCATGTATGATATGTTTGATATGGGCCGGAAGGCGTGGTCATATGGACTGTAAGGATTGATGTGGGTAGGACCGGAAGGTTTACCCAGTCGGGACGGAAGTCCCCTGAACACATGGACCGGAAGGTCAAGGCCTGGAAAGGCGTATGTGCATATGTTGTATTTTGGGAACTCACTAAGCTTTATGCTTACAGTTGTTGTTTATGTGTTTCAGGTACGAGTGAGGACCGTGGGAAGGCGCCAGCGTGATCGTACACACACTCGGGGAAACTATTTTATCTTTTGATATGTAATCGTTTGAGACTACGACGTGATTTTGGAAATCTAAACTAATTACTCATGTCTTAATGGTTGTAAAAATGAAAATTTTTGGTTGGAAATTTTATGACGTTACACAAACGTCATATAAAGCCATAAGTCATGTATCTCAAAATATCATAACATCTGTCAAAGAAGAGGAGTGTTGTAGACATGACCAAGAACATTTCTACGAAAAAAAAAAGAAACACAAGAAAAAGAGGAATTTAGTGTTGCAAGAAGATTCCACTGATGAAGAGGTGGTTCCTGAAACTCCAATCACTGATACAATGGGTCATTCTTCACCGGTGAGGGATTCTCCAGTTCAGTCGATTTTCGAGGAGACTAAGAATCTTGATGGAAATGTGGAAACTTCTATAGTGGACACAACCATTAATCATGGTGAAAAAAACTAGACTTCAACTCCAAAGCAGACACCGATCATACCACCCAAAGTTTCGAATACTAAGTCTTTTAATGAGGATGTACGAACTTCAAACATCAATGCAAACGTATCTGATAGGGATGTAAATGTTAATATGGGTGAAGGATTTTTACTGAAACATTCCAAAAATACGGTCCAAAATTTCATTTTTAAATGATTAATAAAACCATAGTAATCCAAACTTCAAATAAAACCATAAGTCATGTATCTCAAAATATCATAACATCTGTCAAAATATATCACAGTAAAACATCACAGGCTAAAATTATTGGTGTGTGTTATGTAGTCATGTCGATCTCTTCCCTCCGCTACCAGAAGTACCTTAAATCAAAACTAAAAATTGTAAGCACGAAGATTAGTGAGTTCCCCATACTACCACATACCCTGCACATAATCACATACTACAAACATTGGGCCTAGCCCACTAAATCGGACCCCGCCTGGCATCGGATGAATCCGACATCAAGTCCCACTTGGCATCAAGCTCCGCTCGGTATACATATCTGTTTCTACTAGGCTCCACCTGTCTCCGAGCCCCGCCCACTTTACATATACAAACAATAACATATAATCATGCTAATACACAACAAATAATCACTATACCATAACTGCTAGTCTCAAGTCCCTACCCCTCTTCTGCTACTAATGAGATAAGGAACCCCATCCGCACTCAGCTAGTGATGAGATGCGGGGCCCCGCCCACACTCATCTCCCTACCAAGCATATACAAGTATCATACAGACAAGAAGTATAACTAAACATAGATACTGCCTCGGGTACCACCTGGCATCGAACCGTGGCTTGGAAACATATATATATCAATCTTCCTCAAGCCTCGCCCGTCATTGTACCAAAATCCGGAACATATAAGCTGCATCGGGTTATCCCCAGCATCAGATCTAAATCCAGTGTATACACTAACATACATAAATGGGCCGACATTGGTGCCTTCGACCCGTTCCTACCGGAGAAAACTAACCTCACAAACTGACAGTATAACCCTGCGGATACCCCTCGTTACTAGTTGGTAGATCCCGAACTGCTGATCTCTCGACTCCCCGAGCTATCATTATCCAAAAATAACAATCAGTCTAACCAATAATTCTACTTAGGCTAAAATGACCCCTTTACCCCTGCTCTAACTTGGACTATACCCAAGGCCCAATTCCATCTAATCTTTCGAAGTCCACTAATGGCCCAAGTTGCTACATTGGGCCCAATCCCTCTAATAGGCCTTATCCTAAGCCCAAACATATTCTTGGCCCAAATTATCTGATTTCTGATAGCCCACTCAATCCCAAAGAGCCAAGTCCAATGCTTGGCCCAACTCAAGGCCCAAAACACACCAAGCCTATAATTTATGAGTATGAGAGGCGTACTCCTCTGTATGCTAAGCGTACTTGCTAAATGGCGTGTACAATACGCGTACCTGCGTGTACACCTAACGTACTCCCCTGTTAAGTCACTTTTACCATTAAGTGCTTAATACTCCATTCCAGAAGCTACAATCACAGTCCAAGTCCTTACTAACGTCCTAATCCATAAAGTCGATTACTTGGTGGCTTGCTGTAACAACCCGAAAGTTCCGTACCATCTCTTGTAACTCTTTCGTAGTACAATTCACGCAACCAATCGTCGTTTCCAAACTCGATTTCCGATCTTCTGTTTAATTAAGTCATTAACTTGTACGGATCTAAAATGACTTAATGGGTGTCTTAATACATTTAGAAATCATTTTAACACCCCACTTTAGTGATCAGAATATTTCTAGAATTCACCATATCGGGTTACGGCAACTTAATCGGGTACGACCAAAAGCCTCGTCTAACACCGGTATCGGGTAGAATTCCACCGTGTCCAAAACTTAGACACTATATAATGTGTTTTAAGCCTCCATTTGAAGCCTTTGGCCATTTTATCATACACACTTCCAACCTCTCTCCTCATCCATAATTAAATGTTCAAAAACAAAGATTTAAGGCTCCAAATCAAAGAGGTAACATCCCTAACTTGTTATCTAACCTCTTTAGCCTTCAAATTGATGTTTAAATTAAGTTTTGGGACCAAGAAAATGAGTTTACGGACGAGGATCAAGCTTGGGCCGTAAACTCCTCAAAATGGGGTTTTTAAGCCAAATTTACCCTTCCAAATCATAGTTGGGACCTAGATACGACCATAAGGCTTGCAAATCTGGACTTGGAACACATTAAACATGAATTTTGGGGGAAAAAAGAGAGTTTATGACCAAGGCTCCTTCTTGGGCCGTAAACTCCTCTAAAATGGGGATTAATTGCCTTAAATCATGTTAGAATGCCTTGAAACTCAACAAATAACTTTGTGGTAAATCCTAGATTCATCTAAAAATAGTTTAAGGGTTTGTAACACATCAAAAATGCCACATGTAGGAGTTTACGGCCTAGGAGCATACCCTTGGCCGTAAACTCATGAAACTTTGTTAAATGGTGCTCTAAATGCATAACAAGGCTTGGAAAATTAACTAGAATCACATGTGATTGTTCTTTGTACCTAAAATGAATTGTTTTTTACCATATTAGAGTTTACGGCTGTAAACTCCCTTTTAAATGGTATAAATCCAAACAAATTAAATCAAGGCATTCTAGAAGTCCATTCCAACAACCCCTATGTCCATTTAAGCCATTAAACACTCAAAATCACACCAACATGAGTTTACGGCCGTAAACTCATGTGTGTGTGTGTTTTGTGGCTGTAAACTCCATCAAATGTTTACTTTTGGAGATTAAACTCAAGTCCCAAGTCCCTAGTGCCATATTATGTCTGAAGATGTCACCCAGGTCACTCCAAACACTTGTATTGAGGTGTTTAACCTCGTTGGAGTGTAATGTTCCATATAATTAGTGGTTGTAAGTCTAATTAGTATTATATGGACATTATTACATTTTACATAGGTACATCGCGAGTAAACAATCCCCGAACCAACGTCTAGTATCCAAAACCGATGCATTTACGAGTCTGGTGAGTTCATATCCCTACCCTTTTTCACTGTTTTCAGGGCGGAACACAAGCAAAGTACAAGCAAATTCTTGTACTCAAAACATGTTTTCAAATGTGTGTTTCATATTCCATATGCTTTTATTCTGATTACTACAACTGATAACCATTTGAACATGCAGATCACGTAACATATATTTGTGAAATGGGTTTTTAAACTGTTATGTTTTACATATATTTCAAAATGGCTTTCCATATTTTATCAGTAAAAAGCATGACATTAGACATTTGAATATAATACCTGTACACTGTTTTGTCCTCGGTAACACTCCACATATAGACGCGAGTGGAGGACTATCATATTATTTCTAGTAAATTTGTTAATCCTGTATGATTGGAGACACGTCCTCAGCGAACACTCCACAGAGATACGTGAGTGGAGGACTGCACCCGTAACCAGAATCTCTGGTATTTAGAGAGCATGACTTGAGTATATAGATCTATACGGGGCTGACAACCCCATGCATGGCTGCTAGCTACAGCCGAACCGAAATGGTTCAAGGGTGACGAAAGTCATAAGTATGTGGACTACTTATTGCCACAGGTTTAGTCCATCGTATGGTTATGGAACTCGCAATTAGGATAACAGAGATTTACTTATAGTAATAATGAACCACTTTATACATCTTTTACATCTTTACATCTTTCACGTACAATAACAACATTCAGGAAAGTATGGGACTTTCCTGGGGAAACATGGAACCTAACCACGTTTACATCTTTTACATCTTTTACATGTTCATATTGAAACCAACATGCAGGAAAGCATGGGGCTTTCCTGGGTAACTCTACATAACTAGAAAGAGTAACAAACTGGATAACATTACATCTTTACAATTGGTAATATACAATAAGGAAAGTATGGGACTTTCCTGGGAATACATATAGGTAAACAGAACAGTTTAACAAGCCGGATAACCAAACTATACATTTTCACATGAGTAGACATGTTTTCAGTGTACAACTTACTATACTTTACATTTGTGAAACAACAACCAACTTTAAGAAAATATGGGATTTTCTTGGTATACATAACATTTCAGAAACAGAAAGGAAACTTGAACATTTTCACAAACAAAAACCGCTTATGAACTCACCAGTTATGCTGATTTTAAACCGCTTGTGTTCTCAGGTCAGCGTTAGAACAGGTACTCAAAGATCCTTTTTGGTCAGAAGACGGAGTACATGAAGACTCGTTTCATTTTGTTCATATAAATACTATGTATCACAACTGTACAAACTTTACTTTTGAAACAACTGTAAAACTTTTCTTATGTAATGTAATGGTTGTTTTACTTTACTTACTATGTGCATTGGATTTGATACTCAACGTGGAGTCAACCCCGGAAATGTTTCCGCCTTCGGTTTTCGGGGTGTGACAGATTGGTATCAGAGCCCTTGTTTATAGTGAATGAAGTATACCAAACCTTACATGGTATAAAACTATAAACACTAAAGGGCCTAAGTGCTCTGAATTAAAAGTATCTTCAAACTACAAGTATTTTCAAAAGTGTACAAGTATACCAAACCGTCGTCATCCGTAACCACAAGTAGAACAGAACATAAGTAATTGGGTGTTGTGTGCTATGGTTAAACCTGGGCAGTTATGTAGTCGTGTCTAGGGTCAATATAGCCTGGCCAACTATATTCATTCGAGACACGGCCAACATGTGCTTGGGAGTGACTGTGGTATGCTACATGCCTAAAACTTACCCTAATATCCCAAACATCGAACCATTGTTGTAATCAATTCATGAAATACTATGGGAGTATTTCTCGAGCCAATCCTCTGTAGAAATCCTTATTCGAGTGGCTTTCTGTGATTATTTTTTTTAGCGATAAATTATCTGTTTCGATAATTCTTTCCTGCTTTATCGCTTATTCGGATCATATAACTGCCATATCTATCGATTCCATGCGGAGTACTTACCATCCTCTCTT